CTCTTTCCGCCACTCCAGCTTACCCAGGCAGCACCTCGGTCCAACAACGCAGAGTATGCTCTTTAGTGTGGTCCCCAGCCCGGTTTGGTGGGTGTAGGCTGCTCTAGGAGACCTGCAGCTTCCTAGATCTTACCAGCTTTCTGACACTGTCTGCCTTATTGGAAAAGCAAACAAACCACTGCGGGAGCAGTGGAGTAGGTGCAGGGAGCTCCCTGTCCCTGTGACGCATCTGTCTAAATGAGCCCTTAAAATGTCGTCACCTTTTTCTGGAATAAAACTGCTTAGGCAAAGCCTCGCCCTGGCACCATGGGATCTGTGCAAAGTATTTTGGAAATGCCGAGGGTGGCCAGATGCGGGCAGGGGCGTGGGAGCTGTTTGTGTGCCTGTGGAGTAACCTGGCTCCCACGTGACGCGCAGCTTAGCAATGCAACTGCCGTCTCTTCCCCTCCCTCCTCTCCTGGCTGAGCAGCAGCGTACCAGGAGGTATGTTAGGAGCTGTGTAACATGTTGGTGCAGAGGTTACAGCTGCCTCCGGGCCGCAAAGCACCACACACCCATTTCTTTTAATTAAGAGGCTTCTTAAGACTAAGCTGGATGTGTTGTACCCTGACCCATCCTTCCTGCTTTCCTTCCCTCCCCTCTCCGCATACGGTTTGTGGAAGATGCAAACCCCGCAGGTGAGCGAGTGCATGTTAATTATGCTGTGAGGGGAAGGGCCTGGCACACCTATGTCTAGTAAACACTAAGTGCAGAATAAAACACTTGCTGCCTTTTAACCCCTGGTTCCCTCGGGTTGGCCAGAGGACGGTGGTGGTGTCCAAACCAGGCTCTGCAGCCCCTTGGAGAGGACCGTCCATTTGCTCAGACCTTGTCTAAATCCCTCTCTTCTCGCCCAGAGCACCCGTCTGGCGTGGCACTGATGAATGGCAGCGGCCCGCACGAGAGCCTCAAGGGTGAGAAGGACGCCAGGCAGAATGGTCACGAAGAGGCTGACCCGGGAGAAGATGGGAACGACCAGGAGGTCATTGTCATACAGGACACGGGATTTACCGTCAAGATCTGTGCGCCGGGGATAGAGCCCTTTTCCCTGCAGGTACCTCCCTTTGCCGGCTGGGGAGGGGCACGGAGGCCACGCCAGGGCAGGAGAAGTCAGGAAGTGTTTGAGCCAGGGTGAAGGCAGTGCTGTCCCTTCAGCCAGCCAGGCAGGGAAGGGGACGGGGGACTGTGCCCAGGAAGGCCCCTGCTAGCCCCCACGGCCTGGACAGCACCTTCAGGCTGCTCCCAGCTCCCTGACTCCTCTGTCCTCCGATGGGATTAAGTGGGGAAGGAGGCAGCGAAGCAGGGAGGGTGCAGGAGGGAAGCTGCCTGACCAGTGGCTTCTAGAGGAAAAGGAAGAAAGAGGAGACGTGAGCAACAGGCTGTCTGGCACAGGCCTGCCTAGGCTTTGCAAGGATGGGGAGGGTGTTTTGCTCCGGATCCCAGGTGTGGAGCAAGGGGAGGGGGAATTAGCTGAGGTGTAGCTGCTCCTTGCCCATCGCAGAGGGGCTCAGGCGCGGAGCTGAGCGCGGGGTCAATGGCCTTCCCGCTTCTGGGCTGTTTTAAAGCAGGGATGTGAAAACGTGATTTCTGGGACTGACTCAGGAGAGGAAAATCCCTTGCTTGCCCAGCAGTTTTGGCATGATGCTCCTTCGGGCTAGCCTGGGTTTGGTGCAGCAGCAGGTGCTAGCACAGCACAGGGAGCTCGAGCACTGGCCTGAGGATCAAGGCAACGATGCGGCCTCCGCTTCCCCTTTCCACGGAGAGCTCCGCGTGTGTCATGTGGACAATGACATGTGCTGCCGGAGCAGGATGGGTTTTGACATGCCTGGCTGATATTCCGATGTAGCTTGATGCTTCACCGAAAACCATTTGGATGAAGTATCTCTCGCTTTGCGGGGAGGCATCTGGAGTCTAAACCCAGTGGGAAGTCGTATCTCCTGAAGACCAGCAGAGAGTGCAGTGAAATTACATCCCCCATGGAACTAGCTGTATCTCAGCCTAGCTTTTTCTCCTTTAAATCCCCTTGGCTGTTAGTTTTAATAGGCTAATAATAGCAGGCCATGTTCTTCACAGCAGCTTATGTAAACTACCCTGAGTCCTCCTAGCCCGAGAGCAGCGTTGGTGGTGCTGGAGCCCGAGCAGGGAGGTAGGAGAGCAGCCCTGTGCACGAGCCCGGCTGGTTTCTTGTGTCACAGGAGCCGCGCGCTTGCAGGCGGCGGTGCCCCGGAGGTGTAGCACTGGCATGGACGTGCCATACCGCGCTGCGGGTACCGCAGCAGATGGAGTGGAGGAAATGGTCTGTTTTCCGTGTGCATCATCCAAAGCCTCACCGCAAATGTTCAGTGTGACTGGATAAGGGAAGAGCCCCCGGTTTCCCTCACCACCTTCTATTCCTTCGCTGCCCTCTCTGCCGCCCCTGTCCAGTGCCGAGCGCTTGGCGCGGCACCAGGCCGTGACACGTCTGGGTGCTGAGCCCTGTGGGATGGAGCTGGGGTGGCTGACCCTGCCAGAGGTGCCAGTGCCCTCCCCGCAGGGACAGGAGCGGTATTCCTGGGAGGGAGGGCTAGAGTCTGCATTTCCAAGCCTGGAGGGGTACAAGAGGCGTTTGATTCTGCAGCAGAGGGACAAAGTTTGGCAGGAATGTGCGTGAGGACTGAGAATAACTGTCTGGGTTCTTCCCTTCTTAAGGTCTCTCCTCAAGAGATGGTGCAAGAGATCCACCAAGTTCTGATGGACCGCGAGGATACCTGCCATCGGACTTGCTTCTCTCTGCAGCTGGATGGCAACGTCCTCGATAACTTTGCTGAGCTGAAAACTATTGAAGGACTGCAGGAGGGCTCGCTGCTGAAAGTGGTGGAAGGCAAGTTCCTTCAGACCTCGGGAGGGAATGAGTGAGGGTTTGCATAGGGAGTGGTTTTGGCCACCTGGTTCCTTTCCTGTGGTTCCTTTTTGAGACCTGTGTGCCAAAGGACTGAGCAACTGTGTAATCCCAGTTTCTTTCCTCCCTTTTTGCTCATCAGAGCCGTACACAGTGCGAGAAGCCAGGATACATGTGCGTCACATTCGGGACCTTCTGAAGAGTCTTGACCCATCGGATGCTTTCAATGGCGTGGACTGTAACTCGTTGTCCTTCCTGAGTGTCTTCACTGAAGGAGACCTGGGAGGTACGGGGCAAAAAGGCTTCTCTGGTGTGGTCAGTGTTTTCATTCCCCTGACTCCTTGCATCGTTAGAACACATCGTAACAATCAGCTGTCCCACATCATTCAGGAGTGCAGAGAAACGCTCGGAGCACTTCTGCATTCCTCCTTGAACAATTACGGGAGGAGGGAATGCTATGTTTTTCAGCACTGACTTTCTATCTCTGTCCGTTCTAGACAGTGGAAAAAGGAAGAAGAAAGGTACCGAAATGGAACAAATTGACTGCACCCCTCCTGAACATATCCTGCCAGGTAGCAAAGAGAGACCCCTGTGTGCCCTTCAGCCCCAGAACAGAGACTGGAAGGTAGAGTTCTCCTGTGTCATTAAACCAGCTATCGGCACGTTCCTTGCAGCAAAATGGTGTTCAGGGATTGAAAGCTGCACTGAAGTGGACTTTGGGATTTGCTCTGCTTGATGCTTAATGAGTGCTGGAATAGCGCTGCTTAGCCAAAAGAATAAAGTCCAAGAGCTTGTGTGCAGAACACTGGACACCGAGTCTGGACATCTGCAGTGTAAAATGGCCAGTCTTGTTGGGAGGGGTGGCAGGGAAGGGAGAGCAGCATTTCTCTGCAGAGTCCTGGAGACAGGATCTGCAGATCACTACAAATTACCCTTAGCTTTCCCATACCCTCCCACTTGGATTCCGGTTTAGAAGCTGCCACTCGAAAACCAGTACAGCAAGAAATCCATGCCTTGTGCAGCCCAAAGGCCCAGGGTGTCTGTTTTTACCTGTGTCTTACGGTGTGAAAGGCAGCAAACTGAGGCAAATTAGTGGACTGCAAATGGCTCGAGGAAGGCTGTGCTCTTGAGACCAGGTTTTTTTGTAAGCTCTGTGTCTGGAACCAAGTGAGGGCGGCAGGTAAAAAGAATCTGGCATGTACATCGAATGGCTCTGTAACTCAAGGGAATTAATTC